TTTCTGGTGTCTTTTTTTAGCAGTACATCTCAGCACTCATTCCCTTTCCTGTGGCAGGAATATGCTTTGGAAAAGAAAAGTATTATTTGGGGGGGGGGGTGGTCTGTGTGCACACATCTATACAATGTTTTTTTCTTTTCCAAAGCATATAACATATTTCAAAACACCTACACACACACACCTTTTCAGTTATCAGAATGAAGTATGCTGCCAGTTTTAATTTAGAAGAAGTGTTCCCTGGCTATGTATAGATAGCTAGATGTGTTTCCCAAACTTTTGATACACAGGGAACACATTTTTCTAGATTTAAAATTGGCAGCACACTTCACTTTTACAACTGAAAAGGTGTGTATATTTTCCCCCCATATATATACGGGAAGAGTTGGACACTTAGGAGTAGGATTTGTAACAGGTACCATGTTGAGTAGGAGGCCTTCTGTGCTAGATAAAAAGAAGTGGTGCTGTGAGTGATGTGTCTGAAATCCCACCACTTGCTAAGGAACAGGTGCCTTACTTTTGGCTGTGGGGAGGCATTTCATCCCACTCCAGATTCACAGCCTTAAATCTTCAAATGAAGGGAGGCACGGAAGCCCTTTTCCCCCAACAATCAAGTAGGCAGAGGCGGTGACGCCTTTTGGAAGGAAGAGCCCTACAGTCAGTTTAAGTATGAAAGAAGGTGAAAGCAGCTGGGATAAGTTTCTGGGGCAGGGAACGCAGCCAGGGCTGTGCGGGTAGGATGTGCTGTGTGCAGTCATGCTTGCTGTCCCCAGGTTGAAGACCTATGTTTCCTCCTTGCTTCTGGATCTTGCTGGTTGCCACCTGGGGCCAGGAAGGATTTTTTTTTTATTCTCCTGGTGCTACAGGTGTCAGAGGTTTGTTTTTCACCTTCCTCAGAAACTCTGGGTATCGGCTGCAGGCAGGGTGGGGATTTTGACTGGGGTGTGCTGGGACATAAACCCAGAGGTTCCTGGTTAAAGGGTCTTGGCCCTCCACTTAAGGTCAGCCTGACTGGGGATCAGGAAGGAGTTTTACCCCATGGTCAGATTGGTACAGACTGTTGGGGAGGAGGTTAGCCTTTATCTGCTGGGGGGGGGGGCATGGCCTTTAGACAGCTTTTGGTGTCTTGGGGCAATATGGTTGATTGTAGCAGGGTTGATTGTGTGGTTTTGCAAATAGATTAGACAAGGACTTGTCTGGGATGGTTCAAATAGGGATGATCCTGCTGTGCAGAGGTCCCTTCCAGCCCTGCTTTCCTATGACTTCCGTGTTTCAAGCACTCTACCAAGATTTGGGAGATGCAAGTTGAATTTCCTTTTCTGCCTGTGGGGATTCAAACCTACATTTCCCATGACTGTGCCCTAGCATCCCCCTCTATAGCAGCTTGGGGATGGTGTGGGGAGAGCGGGCGCTCACTTTATTGCAGCTGGTCCACTGGATGTGGAATAGCCCTCGAGCCAGGGGCAGAGATGCTGTGCAAGCTTGAGTGTGATGCTCAAGCCTAATGATAAGAGAGGCAATAGGCAGAGTGCACATCAGGGCTCTGGTCCCTGCTTTCATCCCCCTTTGCGTGTGTAATGCAGTGTCTGTGCTTCCCCTGCACGTGTCTGTGTGCAGCCTGATGTCTGAGTGTGCTCAGAGCACGTGGGCTGGGGCAGGGCCTGTAAAGCAGAGGAGTTGAAATTGCTCCACACTGTCAAGACTGAGCTGCTTGAGAGCAAATGCATGCATGGCTCAGGCCTTGAGGCACCTAGGATCTCAATAAAACTTAATCTCCTCTGTGATTTAGGAGCCCCTGAAAATGTTACCTGTGATCCCAGCCTGAGAGTCCTGATTTCCTCATTTCTAACCGTGTTGAACCCTCCTCACAGTTCCTCTGGCAAATATGAGTGTGTCAAACTGAGTTGGAGCAATGAGATGGGTGCGTCTACATGAGACGCAAACTGCACAGTAGCCTAATTCTACTGCGCAGTTACATGGAGGGCAAAACCTGTGCTGATATGCTACTGCGCAGTAGTATTAGGCTACTGTGCAGTTAGCGTCGCTAAAAAGCTGTGCGCTGGTGCTACTGCACAGTAGCGCCAATTAGTGCACATTGATTGAATCCTTGGTTGTGCAAGTACTAAACTTAATGTGCAGTAACTACGGTGCATTCATGAATGTGTAGACATACCCTATAAAAACAGTAGCATGGGGTTGTATGGTTATTGCCTCTCAGTGGCTCTGGGTCAAACTCACTTATTTGACAAGTAAAAATGTAGATTTTTTTTCCCCCTTTCTTCTCCTACCTTCAAGCCCCTCCAAACGGTAGATGACATGTTAACATCAGGCTCTGTTCCTTCACCAGAAAGCCTGGCTCAGTTCAGGGGTGTTTAAAACAATAGGCAAGGTGCAGTTAACATTACTCCACTGTTAACTTCATTACCGATTCTCTTCCAGAGGGACAACCAAAAGTAGAAACCAGGTGATACGCTCAGATTGGCAGCACTATTGGCTCTGTAGCTGTCACCCTTGTTCAGGCAGAGCTGGAAGGCAACACTTTTACAAGTTGGCTTTTCTGAACCCAACTGCCCCCTCGCTCCTCTCTGTCCCCCACCCCCTAATATAATTGGAGTAATTATAACTCACTCACCTACCTCACAGGGTTGTTGTGGGGATTATTTATTGATGTCCAAAGCTGAGAAATGCTGTTAATGTTGTACGTGTTGTTGGTGATTCTGTAATGCTCAATTTGGAAATGAGCATCTTGTACATCTAGGTTTCTCCACCCTCCACTGGGCTGTAGTGCACAGCACTGACTGTTGGGTAACTGCGGTAATAAGACAACGTAGGTCCTACTTGGCTCACGTGGAACAGTCTTTCCTGTAAAGATGAATTGCCACTTGCCAGTATTCACTATTGCTTCCCATACACTGCCCAGTGCCGACTGAGCGTGCTGTTTTTCTTTCAGGTTGTGTGCAATTCCCTGCGCCCGCTTTGCATAACAAATCCTGCACGTAGCTTTGTTTTGGCAGTATTTCACCTGGAATTAAGAACGCCTGAGGAAATTAGCATTTTACTTCCATAAAGAGGGTTGGGAAGTCTAATGTGCGATTTTAAATTGGTATAGCAATTTACATATAACTTAATTCACTGAAATTGGAATTGCAAGATGAGCAAAAATTGTCGAGAATTAGCTTCTTTGGAAATAGTTATGGGATCACAGGAACAGGATCATAGGAAATTATGTTTAATTGCTGAAAATTGAAATTCATCAAAGCATATTAAAGCTTTTTTATTAAGAAAAATATCCTTTGTTCCACACAGCAGAGTTGTTATTGCTATTTAACAATCTTATAAAGACACGGCAAGGTTTATGGTGGCAACAGTTTTATGCAGCCTGTTTAATACACAGTGCGCATGTCTACACATGCAACTAAAGCACACGAATAAACTCCGGAGCTTCTTGCTTTGGAGTTTTTTTGCTCCCAGACATGCCGTTTGAACGTGCGCGCGGAAGCAAGAAACTCTGGACATATTGCTCTGAAGTTTATTCATGCACAGCACATGGAGCCCAGCTGGAGCAGCCTGGGCTGGCAGGGGACCCCACACTGAAGGCTCCTGTGCCCCAGCCAGCCGGGGCAGTATCTACACGTACGCTGCTGCACACAAAAAAACTCTGCAGCAGGGTAGTACTTGTCTTTTACAAGACTACCCTGCCACGGAGTTAATTAGTTTTGTGTGCCGTAATAGGGGTGCATGTGTAGACACTGAGTCGTTTACTGTGCACTTAACTAGTCAACTGCACAGTAAACATCTTGTATAGATGCTCCCAGGTCGAAGCAGCAAATCTCAGGAACTTATTTTAAGGGAGTCGGCTCATTTTATGACAAGTACACCCCCCAGTGATTTTACAGGGGTGCTTCAAGCCGCCTGCTGATTGAGAGGGGGCAGGAATATGCAAATTAGCGAACACAAAAAATAGGTGATTTTTGCCTCTATAGTTGGGAACCAAAATATACCTATAAATTGAAGGTCTAAAAGCCAAAAGGTTGGGTTTTAAAAACTGACATCTTTGGTGGAATGGGGTTTGTTTGTTTTTTTGCTAAGCGCTGAATATTTTGGTTTGATGGCATTTAATACTGGAGTGAAATGATGGAAGTGGCGTCTAATTTTCAAACACCACCGTGGGGTTTTCAGATGAAGCAACAGTAGCGCTCGCTGAAATCAGTGGAAGCTGCAAAGACTAAGCAACTTTAATATTCAGACCACTTATTAACTATGAATTAACTACTTCATCACTTGCTAACTAGGTATCACTTATTTACCTAATTTTGCTCAAGGAGATTAGACACGTAGTGGGAGATTTTGCAAATGGAAAAAGGGCATGACCGCCGAGGCAAAATCCACATTCATTGTGCTCCAGTGTAAGTTTAACACTTGAAGAATAGTAATAAATACTGCCTCAAATTTTCAGACGAGCCAAGTGTGAGATGTTCAAAACATCTCTAACTGGGGAAACAGCGCAGCGTGGCTGTTGTGGAGTACACTGTTCCATAACAGCCCGCTAAGCACTGTATTTCAGAATTAAATACTTGATTCTATGGAAAGTTGGCCACCTAATAATTCCCTCTTGGTTGCCCTGAAACCCCAAGCCCATATCAAGGACTGTGTCAAAGTATTTGTTTAGTTAGAGAGAACAAAATGCTAAAATGTCTTACCTTGGAATTATTGCAGCAGTGCGGATGGTAAAGCAAAAATAATTTAAGATAAAAGTTCTGTCAATGGGCACCAGGAGGATTTGCTATGTTATAGACCCATATTGCTCATGATGCATACACCTTCATTACTCTTTCACATCCCTCCTGGTAGTAACATAATCACCTATTAAGAGGGAACTAGAAGGATTAAAGTTAGAGAAAGTAGCTGGTAGCTCTCATGAAAATACACAGAGATCATCTGATGGCTTTCCAAGCAATAAAGTTGTGCTGAGCTTGAAATTTCGTTTGCTTTTGCTTGTACAGATAGTCGCAGCAATAATGGCCATCACAGGAATTGTTATGATGGCATATGCCGATGGTTTCCATGGTGATTCAATTATTGGTGTAGCATATGCTGTTGGCTCTGCATCCACATCTGCATTGTATAAGGTAGGTCATAATTTTTTCATTAATAGCTGGAGATTATCCCATGGATCATACATTTCATAAATGCACACGTGCAAAGCACAGTGAAATATGTAAGATTCATCTTTGTTGCATCATTTACATTCAGAGCATGCTGGACATGTCAGAAAAGTTACTATGGGGATAATTAGTTTGTGGCTGGCAAGTGTTCATAGTGGTTTTGCTTTACGAGCCTTTAATGAAATCGCTATTAGTCTATGACAAATAGATCAGCATCTCTGAGTCCATCATTTTTTGCCAAAGCAGTTGATGCTTTTTGCAGTGGGCTTGTTACACAAAACAATGAGAAAATCCTGAATGCAGCTAGTGCCATGTTTCTGTTGGTCGTAGCAAACTTCTCATCTCCGATCTGCACTGCGGATCTCTATTGCATATTCTGCACTCGTTCTGGCTTGCCCATCAGCACATGGGCAAGCAATGCAGCATATGCATTAAAGGCTTCAAGTGTGGGAGATGGGAGTCTTCTGGCCCAAGTTTTGGAACGTGTGGCTTTGCTTGGAAGGGTGACCTCTATTTTACCTTCTCGGCCTTCAGAAATGCATTGGATTAAGTGCAGCTGCAGATGCATGCAGGGTCCCTGAGGTCATTGGGGGTCCCCATTTGTTAACTAAGGCAGAATTTGGATCCATTTTGAACGAGAGATCCAAAGCTGGCTCCTACTTACAGTCTTTGGTATACCTCTCTACGACTAGTTACTAGTCGCAATGGATCTTGTGGGGACAATTGTTACTGTGATTCACACAACCTGGCATGCCAGTGACTTCAGAAACAGCGAGGGCTTAATGTTCTTCACACATCAGCTTTGCACTGGCAGGACTTGGTTGAAATCAGTGCAGTTGCTCCTGATGAGTATCCTTGCGAGGTCAGAACTGAGCCCTGTAACTGCATGTGTGACCTTTGCCATCTCTGGGATTCTTATTTGCATTTGTTCCTTGTGACAGTGTGTGTGTTAGCTTTGATTTCAGTGATTCTTCCTTTGTGCTGTGAGGACAGATGTGATTTAAGTGCCTGGCCAGGAGCTGGGGTCCTGAAAGCACGGGCGATGGCACAGTGCCCACTCCTAGGAGACAAACAGGGAGAAAGTAGCAGGAAGGATTGACCATGTGTACATAAGGAAGCTGGCTAGAATAAGGGCTGTCCTCCTAGCACAGGGTGGGACTGTTTAGCGCTGCCTCGCTGGTTGAGCACTTACTCAACAGTCCCAGTGAAGGCAACAGAAGTGTTCACTTGGGCAGCCAGGACCGAGTTTTATGTGAACAAGTCAGGTCATCCCACCCTGGGGTCAAGCCCACAGGAGGGCATTGCGGGGGTGGAAACCTTAGTGAAGACCTCTTGCACTGCTACACAGGTGGGTTTGCTTTTCCCATGCCCAAAGCTTTGCCTAATCCCCAGGGAGCCATGTGCATGGCAAAACTTTGCATGGGGTGGAAGGTAACTGTGCTAATACGTTTCCTTTTCCCTGCAGGTTTTGTTCAAGATGTTCCTTGGAAGTGCGAACTTCGGGGAAGCTGCTCACTTTGTCTCTACACTGGGCTTCTTCAACCTAATTTTCATCTCCTTTACCCCGGTCATACTGTATTTTACAAAGGTGGAATATTGGTCCCCCTTCTCTGCCGTGCCGTGGGGTTACCTTTGTGGAGTAGCCGGCCTCTGGTTAGGTACTTGCTGAATGTTTTTTTTTTTTCCATTTTCTCTAGCACTTCTTGTTGTTTTGCATTTCCCACAGAATAAACAGCCACCAGCATGACCATTCCCTTTCTTACAGCCCAGTGATTCTCAACCGGTGTGCCGCAGCACCCTGGGGTGCCGTGAGCTCCTTTTAAGGGTGCCGCATGGTGCCACACAATGTTTGCAGTTAGTTGTGCAAATGCCTACATGTGAGTCGCCGGATAAAATGGGAATCCATCGTGTCAAAAACATGTGGCTCCCTTGTGTTCTTTCTGAGCTATTTGCAACCAAAAAGCCACTCTGTTCTTTTTTTCCATAGTCAAGAAATGAGTGAAAACAAAGAGCTGCCATTTTCCAAGCGGTGTTTTGAAGCTAATGAGGTTGAGAGCTGCTGCATTTCCCATTTCAAAAGCAGCATTCTTTCATAGATAACATCCTCCATGACCGTTTCAGGCTGGACATAAGGAAGAACTTCTTTACTGTCCGAGACCTCAAGGTTTGGAACAGACTGCCGCCGGAGGTGGTTCAAGCGCCCACTTTGAATGCCTTCAAGAGACATTTGGATGTCTATCTTGCTGGGATCCTATGATGCATGCTGATTTTCTGCCCCTGGGGCAAGGGGCTGGACTCCACCATCTTTCAAGGTCCCTTCCAGCCCTAATGTCTGTGAAATCTGTGAAATCCGTGAAATCTTTTCTATACAATCAACTACTGTGTGGGATGCTGGAGAACAATGAATGTGTGTTAGGAAAGAATGGAGTGGAAAAGCATTAAAAAATTTAACCCACCAAAAGAAGAAAGGCTGGGTCTCTTACAACCGACAGCAGGTTGCACATGGTGTTGCACCGCTCCTGGGGCAGCTGCAGAGGTGTGCAAAGCCCAGCAGCAGCTGCCTCCACCCTGCGCATGGATTGGGGGGTTGGGGGGTCCTCTGCCGGGGTGCTTGCAGCAGCAGGAGGCCCTCCCGCATCCTTGGATGAGCCACCCAGGCTCTGATTGTCGCATAACCTGGCCTGACCCCTGCCTGTCTGTGCCACACTCCCTTCCTCACTGCGGGGGCCTCGATCTGCCCTCCGCCGATGGTCCTTTACGCCCCCTCATAGACTCACCTGCTGGGTGGGTGGTTTGGAGGGGGCATGCGTGCATGCACACATGCGCTCAGCCCCCTCCCCCCATATAATTTTAATATAAAGAGGTACATAAGCTGAAACTTTGAGACAGAAGAGGTACACTTGTTAAAAAAGGTTGGCAACTCCTGTCTTACAGGTTTGAACTGTTTCGTCTCAACATCCCCGTTCTGGTACCTTATGGTTTCCTACACAATGTGTGTGCTTTAAAATAAACTCAGTATGACAGCACGCATTGGATTAGTTATTCAAATATTTATTCTTTAAGCCTTCTCCATTAATTACGGTTTACATGTAGGGACCAGCTAAGCTGGGGCATCTTTGTGTTGAGTGCTGAGATGCCATATTCTCTTCTTTTGTACAAATGACCTTCAGAGGGCTGTATTGTCTACATCCCCTATATAACTTCCCTGCTTTACTTAGGAAGTTTCCTCTTTCAAAGCTCAGTTTTTGAAAAGACCTGTTGAAATGGAGCAAGAGGTGCTTCATACTCCAGGCATAAGAGAACTCTTTCCTTTACTAACTTGTCCATCAATTTATAGCTGAACAGATTGTTATCTATCTCCATTGTAAGTAGGCTAGAAACACTTCTCAGAAACTATTGTAGAAGCCTAGATGGGCTTCCCAGCCATTCAGAGACGCATTCAGACATGGTGGCTGAGGTGATGTGAGCCAGGTTATCTTTCATTCCCTGCCCTGGACCTAATTGCATCCACTCTCTGGTCTTATCACCTAAAGATATGGTTGAACATGTAAATGAGGGCAGGATGGAGCAGCTGCACAGAGCAGGCAGAAAGCCAGTCTAACTCCATCTGTGCTGTTTTCTACCCTGAAACCAGCATACGAGGGTGTCTGCGGTGGGGTGTGGAGAAGCGGGTTTTGGCTGGGGTGCCTGTGCTCACCGATGGTCTAGCTGGTAGAATTGTTCCTTGGGAGCTTTTCCAGTTCGCAGCAGCATCCCAGCAACTGCTCTGAAGTTGCAGTGGGGCCAAAGTAGCTCCAGGCTTGGGGAGGATGGGGCATAAAGCTGCCCGTGACACATACCCCGCTGCACTGAGCACCGTTTGGCTGAGGACTCACTCAGGGAGCCTAACTGGGCAGCACTCAGCTCGAAGCATAGCTATCGGACAGGTCATGGCAGCAGCACCCATGCTTTAACAGGACAGTACTGCCCCATGGGATATGAACACAGGAACACAGCCGAGACAATGAAACAGCAGAGATGAGCCTGACCCAACACTGGAGTACCCACATTCTCACAGTATCGGCTCAAATATACAGTGCAACATTTCCTCAATTGCCTAGGAGATTCCCGTGCTCTATAGAACAAGAGGAATTTCAGAGGGGCGCTAAGGGCCCAGTCTACCAAGCGCATGAAAGCCGTCAGAGTTGGGTGCCTAAGTACCATTGTGCATCTGGCCTAAGTAGCTTAAAGACTTCTGCTTAGGACACTGGTTTTATAGACAATGGTTCACCTCAGTAGGGTCCTTCTGGTCCCTGAGTGTCTTAAAGCCCATGAAAGTGGATTTCATATCCTTTCTACTTACTGTACCGCTCTCCCTTCTTCCCCCTAACTTGCAGAGGAGAGGACTCTTCTGTTTGCACAGCTAGGGCTGGCTACATGTCCCTGGCAGGGGTGCGTATGTGCTGCTTGCTGATACTGTCCTTTGATGGATGGTCCCACCCTGGGCTGCTCGCTCAGTCCCCCAGGGAATAGCAAGACCACAGAATTGCAGTTGAGAGGGAGTGCAATTGGAGAGCAATCCTAATTTCTTTTGTAAATGGGGCACAAGGTGTTTTTTGAGGAGGGAAGCAAGTCTGTATGGCTTTTCTTGAAGCTTTGGAATAGAAAACTAGTGCACTTGGAGTTTTCTATATGTATACCCAACCTTCTTCTTCCTCATGCAGAACCTCCATTCCTTTCACATTCCCACACATACAGGCTCAGTCTTGTGTAAGAACATAGTAAAGCGCGTGGTATAATTTCATGACATTTTATGAAGTTGTGTCTCTGACACTCTTGTGCCTTGTCCTCTGTCTCGACAGCGTTCAACATATTGGTCAACGTTGGAGTCGTGCTAACGTACCCCATCCTGATTTCCATCGGGACAGTGCTCAGCGTTCCTGGAAATGCAGGTACACCTAGTGCCGTTAATGAGTAAAGATCATCGTCATGCCCTATGTCTTCTCAACCTCTTTTGCAGTTTTTTTTTTTTTAACTTCAGTGGCAATTTAAATAAACATGAAACTGGCAACAATAGAGACTTAATTCTGCAAGTGCAGTTTTTTCTAGTCCTTTCCACTGGGGTAATTAAAAGGTAAATATATTATTTTGCAGTAGCTTATCAAGTAGCCTGAGGGCTCAGCTCTGTGCCTATGGAGGCTGCCTGTTGGGGTGGGGGGGAAGTTGGTGGACAGGGATGGAAAGCCTTGATCCCATGTCTGTGACCCATATGCTGGAGGTACAGCTGAGCCTGGGTAGAAGGACATGTTATCTGTGAAGTGCTAATGCTTAGGAGGAACTTTATGACTATGCAGGTGGTCAGGCATTGGAACAGGCTACCTAGAAAAGTTGCTGATTACCCCTGGAAATTTTCAAGACAGGTTAGATGGACACTTGGCTGGAATGATTTAATTAGGGATGATTCTGCCTTGAGCCTGGGGCCAGGATGAGATGACTTGGTGTAGTCCCTTCCAGCCCTTCTTTCCTATGATCCTATGAGCACAGATGACTTTCTCACTTGGAAAAAAATGGAAACCAAGGACCAGATTGTGACTCAGCCTTATTCAAGGCGTATATAAATTCTACTCTCCAGCCATAAATATTTATAGCTCCCCAGCAGACATTTCCATTAGGACAGAGAGCATGAAGGAAGTGAGAGTTTCTAATTCTATTTAGTATGAAATATGGAAGCCTAGTAGGCTATGAGACTATCGCAAGATGACTTTACAGTCTTTGCTTTCGTTGCCTTTCTCCCCCCTGTAGCTGTGGACCTCCTGAAGCATGAAGTGATCTTCAGTGTCGTAAGGCTGGGGGCTACCATTATCATTTGCATTGGATTTTTGCTAATGCTGCTTCCTGAAGAGTGGGATGAAATAACCCTAAGATTCATCAACAGCTTAAAGGAAAAGAAAAGCGAAGACCATGCGGAAGACATCACAGACTCCAGCGTGCATACCAGGAGCAGAAGCAGAGCCAATGGGACAGTGTCTATACCACTAGCGTAAAGCTGGTGACCCTCTAACTGCACGTGAATGTATATTCTGTGAATATAATTTAATTTTCTCGCTACTGATCTGCTAAATGACAGTATTGGTCTGAACTGGGGATGAATTGTATAAATCAATGATAAATACATCAATAATAAATGTTTACATTTATACACTTATAAAGGAACCAGTGTAAATAGCTACAATAATTTTTTTTATAATAAAAACACATTGGCTTGTGCTCTATTTACTATCATAATTTTAGATGAATTGTCAAGCCGCTGCCCCAAATGCTTTTAGACACTGATGGTAATCAAAGCCCTTCAGCCAGCTCCAAATGTATCCTGAGTGTCTCAGATAGAGTTCCCAGATATTGAGGCATTAATAATCTCTAGTCACGAAGAAAGCATTGGGTGTTAAAAGCAATAGCAAGGTTTGAGGTAGTGTGCTGTGCATCTACATGTGCAATTAATGCAAAGCAATAAACTCCAGAGCAGTTTAAGCTGGAGTAAACTACTTCTGGGTGCATCTACATTTGTGCCCAGGATAGCAGCAATTTGAGCCAGGGTGAAGCAGGCCCAGGCTGGCATGAGATATGGGGCTCAGCCCCAGACCCTGGGGTGGGGGAGAGGGTAGTCAAGGGGCTGGCTGGGATACAAGGGTGCAGAAAGTGCAGAGCCGTGTGGCTAGATGGCAGGCAGGGGTCTGGCTTTAGCTGGGTGGGCTGATGGGGCACAATTTAAGCCTGCAGTCAGAGTCTACACATGCATTTAATTGCAGTAAATTACCCTGGTGTAAGATAATACCGTCCCCAACAGTACTATGTTATGCCGGTGTACATTAGTTGACTGCGGCCTAATAGCATCACACATGTAGACAGCGATACTTTACTCCACAGCTAATTAATCTACTCCACAGTAAAGTGCACATGTAGACATGGCCACTGAGTCACTATCCACAACATAGCATCTATGTAGTTCTCATGAAAATGTTTGTTATTTAAAAGTGCATTTGGGAATTGTTTTTATGAAGATCCACACATTGTGTCCTATGTGTTAAGAGAGATTGAGCTGGGCTCCAAAACATAAGGCTCCACATGCTCATAGGTACACAGGCACCTCACTTCTAATTATTTCAGTAGGTAGGCATCTAAATACCTTTGAGGCTCTGGCCCATATTTATCAGTAGTAAGGCCCAATGGATGATACCATGAATGGTGAGTATTGATGATAAGTCGAGAGCTACCTGGACCCAATTTCTGATTTGATTTGCTGTTCTATCTTATCAGCATCAGTTTGTAAAAAAGCTGTAAAGCAAAACCAACCAAGAAAATCTCTTTAATAAGCCAGCAGCACCTAGTGCACATGCCTCCACTCCTCATCCCAGCATCTCCAGTTACAGAATCGGCTCCAACTACAGCATTGTATAATAGGCTGTGTCTCTCAGCTAGCATTGGCCTTCATTAAGGGGGCTCCAGACCTATTCTGAGGTGTCTCTGAAGAGTGTAAGTGGTTTGTCAAAATCAGCGATCCTCCAGCCCTGCGCCTTGGCTCACAGCTGTTAAGCAGCAGAAGGCCTTTTGCAACTCCTGTCCAGACCACCTTACCTGGCCTATCTTTTTGCTACGGCTCAGTGACAGGAACAGCTATGGAGGTAACACAGGGTTCAAGCCTCCTATAACATCCCAGCGTCACATTGAAGAATTGTTCTTGTTGCTTCATTTGGAGACCAGGCTAGGCCTGAATAGCATTGACTTCTGCAGGCTCTGGTTGGATGGGATCATTACCAGACGTGTCCCAGATGTGACATGACTGCCGACCTCTCTTTATACGCTTCTACCCTACGGTCAGTCCTGCCTTCTTAAGGCAGTTAAGTCCCCTCCAAGTCGCATGTTCTTCCCAGTTTGGATGAAAATAGAAACAGCATCAACACATGCTAGAAAAGAATAGAAACATCATCAACACAGAGCAACTCCCTTAGTAAAGATCTGCCAGATGCTCACACCCTTTTCAGGCCAGATGGTAAACCCAGGAACTCAAAAACTTTCCTGAGGTGGTGAAGGCTCATGTAAGCCTGGCATCTGGTCCAGTGGCACTTGCCTGTAGCCCCTAGTGAGATCCATAGTGCTTAGGGGCCTGGTACCAGGTACCCACAAGTAATAAGCAGCAGCCCTGCTGATAGCATTAAGTGTGCAGTAGGCCACACACAAAGTGAGTGTCACCCTCCTTGGGCACCAGCACCATAGGTGATGCCAATGGACTCTGTCAGGGCCAGATCATGCTTAGTGCCAGCATGTCCTTGATTTTCCTTTCTGGGTCTTGAGCTGTTTCCTCAGTGACTGGCAGAAAAATAGCTCACAGGAGATTTGGGCCCTGTCTTCACTGGGTGCACAGCTAAGTGAGTGTGCCCAGGCTCACTAGGGACCACCTGCTTGTAGCACTGCAGGATCTCTCTGAGCTCTGACTCCTGGTGTAGGCGTTAAGTGATCTGATCAGACAGTGGTATCCTGTGGTGACTGATGTGACTCTTCAGCCCACGGTTCATGTCTTTTAGCTGCTGGACAACCCTGAAGCCTCCACCCCAGCCAGCCTGGAGCCTGTTGTTCTGCTCTGGTAGGGGCACCACCACCTGGCCCTCTATACTGTATGACCCGGCATGTGCAACGCGTTCAAACCAGACCTTTTGTTTCCCTTGAGTCTAGCTTCTCTGGCTAAACCCATGTATTTGATTTCAACACAGCAAGGCATGATATACTCCGCCACAGACGTTACTTCTGAAAAGACCTTCCTTTCCCGTTCTTTGCTTGGCAGGTCCCGGAGAACCACACACCGTCTTCCCGTATCAGGGGAAGTGATTCAGAGGGAAATTTGCTCAAAGCAAAAGACAGGTAGGGAAAGTATTTATCTCAGTTATGTAGGTGCTGATCCAGAAATGCCTCCAGCATTGTTTTCAGAGTCCCAGTAATTCTCTCCTTGGTCTGCAGGTGATTTACAGAGGCCTAGAAGTGCCTGGCCCCACATTTCTTGCACAGTAGAACTGGCACCTGGTCAGCGAGGAGCCCTCTCTGCTGAAAGCTGGCAGCAGAGCAGGTGCAATGAAGTCTCTTCTTGATGTGTTGAATCCCTTGATGTCCCAAGAGAGAAACGTCATGGGCCAAGCATAACAGCCTCAAGTGATACCTCTTGGGAAACACCTTGATGTCTCCTTCCTGTCTCTTGATCCTCCAACATGCATTTTCTCCAAGAGACACCTGTTCCCTGTAAAGGGACCTGGTCTCCCATAGGGAACTCTCCCTGCAGCCATTCCCTGCTGTTTTTGTGCCCCAACTCCCCTCCATCCTCCCCACGCACACACATGCAGTGCCCAGTTGCCTCCTCTGAGTTGCACTGCTGCCTGCCTGAAGGACTCTGACCCAGACCCATTGTACACAAGTTCACCGGCCGGCGGGTGGGTTGTGCTCAGATCCAGAGGATTCAGAGGCGTCACATGTTAAAGCCTTCCATGGGCCCCAAAGCTTTGTCCTGTGGCCCTCAGGAGTCAGTTCAGATATAAGCAGTAGGACCTGCTCAGCCTGGCCATAGTTCTGAACTTAGCCCGCTTCATCCGCTCCATCTCGTGCCTTTAGGACCCAGCAGGGAAGCAAGACCCCATGGCCAGTCTGGAGGGCAAATCTCTGGCTAATGCCATGTGCTCTCAGGAGCAGCATGCAGGGGTAGTTACATAGGTCATCTTAATTCAGGCTCTAAGCCCCCTTGAAGGCTGGTTACTGCTTACTGGTTCATGTGCCCCATTGTACCTTGATTTCTCCAGCTCTGATTTGTGTCTCCTTCATGCACACACCTCATCCTCTTCTAGTTTCCATTGCCTGAGCTCCATTTTAAGGTCCTCCATCCAAAGCTCCTTCTCTCAGCATTAGCCTCTGCCACACCAGCCCTGGGTTAGGGGAAGTGGCTCATGAAGAAGCCTGGCTGCTAAGGCCATTGCCAGTGCTGTCCTCCCCAGACAGCCTGCTTCTTCCCCGGACGTATTTCCCTCCTCTGATGGTGAATGGGGCTGCTGTCCTGGAGCCTGGCCATGGCTCTGGGCCTGGTTGCTCTTATCAAGGTGGCTGACCAGCTGTGTTGGGTGTCTTTCCAACTCTCCTAAATGTTGAAACTTCTGCCCTGGTGTTTGCCTTGGCTTCCTTCTGTGGCTGTAATTTCTGCTTGAAAAGCACCAGAGGTCACGCTCACTTAGCAAACCTAAGTGTTAAAAAAAAATTAAGTCAAGTTCCAGGCCCTTAAGAGTTAGAGTTAAAAGCCATGAGGTTGTTTTATGTATATATAAATGAAAATGGTGTCCTTTTAGTCTCCTGCTGGTATTTGAGCCTCTAAGGCTCATGTTTTGAAGCTTTTTGCTACAATGCTCAGGGCTAAAGACTTACTCTTTCCATATGAAAGCAAAGAGTCTCTCATAATCACATGGCTTGAGGAACTGGGGCTTAAAGAAATTAGAAAACCTAGTGAGACTCGTGATAAACAGCCATGAATTAGCAATCCTGCAGGACTGGGACCCTTAACTTCACTGGGCCTTTCTTGATATGGAGAGCTTGTATGAATTTAATTTTTATTTATAAACTGGCTTGTCTTCTGACCACACACACACACATACATGTGAAAATTTGACCTCCTACTCTCCTATTCTGCTGCAATGTTTTGAGAATATAGGCCCAGCTTTTCAGAGGTATTCAGGTGCTTAAGTCCTATCATTTTCAACAGCTAGGCATCTAAAATACCTTTGAGAATACAGGCCCACTTTACTAAGAGAAAGGATCAATGGATAATAAACACCAGCTATGGATCAGAAACCACCCTGACCTGGTTTCTAACCTGCTTTATTGCTCTCTTTAAGTGATATGTTTAGCAAAAAAGCTGCATATAAAAATAACCTCTCTTTTAATAAGCCAACTTGCACACAGTCCAAGCACCTCCGGTCCACACTGTAGCATCTTCAGCCACAGTATTGGCTCTTCGAGGCTCTCCATCACTATTAAACAAGGAACCCAGCGGGACATTCTGGTGCTCCAAAGTAATTTTTTTTTCACGAGACATGTTCATGGCCAGAGGCCATAGTGAATTACTGCAGTAACCTGTCCTTTTGGCAGGAATGGTCTTGAACTTGGGTAGGTTATGCATAAAATAGAGGGGAGGAGGGTTCAACCCAGTCTCCAGTAGATGACAGTCAACATTACAAACCTTCTG